TCTCCTGTAGAAGTAAGTTATGCTACTCTGTATACTTCTATCTGCTAAAGAATTAAGTATGTTACTCTGTATACTTCTATCTCCTGTAGAATTAAGTTATGTTACTCTGTATACTTCTATCTCCTGTAGAATTAAGTATGTTACTCTGTATACTTCTATCTCCTATAGAATTAGGTATGTTACTCTGTATACTTCTATCTGCTATAGAATTAAGTATGTTACTCTGTATACTTTTATCTCCTGTAGAATTCAGTATGTTACCCTGTATACTTCTATCTCCTATATAATTATTTATGTTACTATGTATACTTCTATCTCCTGTAGAATTAAGTATGTTACTCTGTATACTTCTATCTCCTATAGAATTAAGTATGTTACTCTGTATACTTCTATCTCCTATAGAATTAAGTATGTTACTGTGTATACTTCTATCTCCTGTAGAATTTAGTATGTTACTCTGTAAACTTCTATCTCCTATAGAATTAAGTATGTTACTTTGTATACTTCTATCTCCAAGAACCAATGCACACCAGTGTTGGATTCACACTCAGACAATATTTTTTTTTTCTGCCTAAGTATCTAAAAGTGAAAGCCGAGAGGGTCGACTTTACAGCACCGGGTTTTACTCAATGTGGCTTGGTCTCTTTCCACAGAACCGCTAGACGCCTGCCGAAGGCCTCCCACAAAGCCTGAACTATTTATTTTTAGCTCCAGTGACGATCTCCATGTATTCTCTAAAAAAAATTGCTCTCGTGAACCGAACGACGCGGCCGTGAAACGAACCCACGAGCTTCGGTGTGCAAGGCAAACCTTGCACATTCTCAGTCCCCCCCCCCCCCCCCCCCTCTTCAACCCCGCCCAAACTCACGCACACACAATCATTATTCCTTTCACTTACTGATATTCTGACAAGCGTTTCCTGGATGACACAAACAGAGGTAGTCAATACCGTCTACTGTACTTGTGCAGGTATCGTTTTGAATACACGTCCCAGAGAGACATGGGTCAGCTATTTGTTCACACAGCTGGCCCCTATACCCTGTGGGGAATTCAGTTTTGAGTTGGTTAGGTATGTATGCAAAGATCTGTTGTTTCTAGAAGAAAAGAATTGGTGCTGGTACCTGATCCACAAAGTTTTGGGAAAAAAGGTGTCGCTACTCAATACAAAGTGCCTGTTACAGTAGTGCTGGGAAAAAAGGTGTCGCTACTCAATATAAAGTGCCTGTTACAGTAGTGCTGGGAAAAAAAGGTGTCGCTACTCAATTCAAAGTGCCTGTTACAGTAGTGCTGGGAAAAAGGTGTCGCTCCCCAATATAAAGTGTCTGTTACAGTAGTGCTGGGAAAAAAGGTGTCGCTATTCAATACAAAGTGCCTGTTACAGTAGTGCTGGGAAAAAAGATGTCGCTACTCAATACAAAGTGCCTGTTACAGTAGTGCTGGGAAAAAAAGGTGTCGCTACTCAATGCAAAGTGCATGTTACAGTAGTGCTGGGAAAAAAAGTGTCGCTACTCAATGCAAAGTGCATGTTACAGTAGTGCTGGGAAAAAAAGGTGTCGCTACTCAATACAAAGTGCCTGTTGCAGTAGTGCTGGGAAAAAGATGTCGCTCCTCAATACAAAGTGCCTGATACAGTAGTGCTGGGAAAAAAAGGTGTCGCTACTCAATGCAAAGTGCATATTACAGTAGTGCTGGGGAAAAAAAAGATCGCTACTCAATGCAAAGTGCATGTTACAGTAGTGCTGGGAAAAAAAGGTGTCGCTACTCAATATAAAGTGCCTTTTACAGTAGTGCTGGGAAAAAAGTTGATGCCTGAAGAAAAGGTGCCAGTACAGCACATCGTTGCCTACCGCTAGGGAAGAAAAAGCCCCGGGGATATATATTCTGGAATATGATGCAAATTATGTGAGACAATTAAAAACTAATACTTTGAATTTATTTGAGTTGATGCAAGAACCAACACGACAGCACTCGAGGCACTTCCATAAGCAATTCGTTCCTATCTTCAGCAGCCAAAGCAGAGTTCGAATACCAATGCTGCCAGTAGCAGTTTGATTGTATGTCCGTCATGCCTTTCTTCTGAGCGTCAAGTATCGACCAGAGCCCCTCGTCACTCCTCGCTGCATCAGTCTCACTAGACTGATGATCAGTTTGCTGTTCCAAATTGTACACACGCTCCCATAAGGCCTTAACCACGTCTGCCTTATACCAACCCCCCCCCCCCCCTCACCCTCTCTACTGTGTCGTCGAGAGATGAAAGGCGGAAAAGGAAATGTATCATATAATTTTACCTTCTTTTGTTCGGTGTTCAGCAAACGAACAGTTAGTTGAATTTTCCATGTAACGTATGTGACCTTTCTTGGACATCCGCACTCATTAACTTATTCAGAAAATAAAGGGTTTCGCTCGTGTCCGCTACTTCCCCTCCTCGAGAAATTGTTATACACCCAGCGTTTCACCCAAAAAACTTCAGCCATGATAAAAAAAATTTTTTTTTTTGGGGCTATCATCCGAATAACGGGCACAAAAGATGGTGGACAAAAGCAGGGCCTCAATCACGTGTCAAATGCGCACTTCCGGCGACCTAATTTGCGGTTTTCCGGCGACTACCGCCACCGCTGAGGGTATCCCTATGCCGATCACGCGGCGTGGATTGGGGCTAAACTAGATGGCTGGAACTCACGAGCAGCAGCTTCCGCATCTCCTGCAGCTTTACTCGTAAGTCCTAGCCATCTAGTTTAGCCCCAATCCACGCCGCGTGAGCGGCATGGGTGATACACTCGGCGGTGGCGGTAGTCTCCTGAAAACCGCAAATTAGGTCGCCGGAAGTGCACAGTTGACACGTGATTTGAGGCCCTGTTTTTGGTCGCCATCTTTTGTGCCCGTTATTCGGAGGATAGCCAAAATTTGTTGTATGTACCTATCTATCTATCTTCTTTTACCCCACTAGGACATCACGCATGCGATAAACACCTGATGACACAACGTGCCACCATGTGAATGAGGATCACCCTTGGAGGTGTTCCAGAAACGATTCAGCTATTAGACCATATTTATGGCCGGGCTATATTGCGGTCCCTGGCAAGAGCCAGGGTAGGGCTTCAAATAACGACAAATTGCATCCCCAAAAGGGATGACAAGATATATGTGATGTACTAGTACCCCACTAAGTTGTACAGAGCCAGCCAGTCAGTCCACCTGTTCATTTCCCAACACAAGTTTCAAGGGCGAAAAGACTACGTCGAACGTCTCCGGCTCTGAAGATTCCGTTTCGGTCTCTCGTCAATGCTGGTATTTTGGCTATCACAGTGAGCTGATGGAGGGGTTTTGTACTAAGCTTTCGGGGAGCCAAGTCTCTAACGAGAGAAACCCTGCCATATGGGATCAAACCAAGCCTTACCCCCCCTGTAATGTGGGATATTTTCACAAGGGGATTCCCTGATTAGGAAGGTAGGAGGAAAACTCGAGGTACAACAGAAAACCGAGAGAAGCTAAACACTCGGAGAAAACAAGGTTCTCTAGGATGGGAGACGACCACATGTTGCCACGTGGAGCCCAACACCTGGCTATAATATCAGACCACGTTCTGATTAGACAGTACGAAAGAGAATACTTCAAGACTACAGTTCGAATATCATCTTCAGCAACGAACCAGCTACACGGGTAATCAGCAGCTACACAGAGTCAGGGGCGAGAGACCACGAGGGAAACAACCGAAGTCACCTGTCCAGAGATGTGGCGTGGGAGATAGAAAACTACCGAGTGCTTGTACGTGAATGCTTGAGTGTTGACGTCTGAATACGGGTGCGATTGAATGTTGGACTTGGTGAAGGATTAGGGACAAGGACTGGACATATTCGTGAGTGAATTATTGTCAAAAAAAAAAAAACATTGTTATCATGCACATGTCGCTTTGCTTAAAACATCAGTGTCAACGTACATTGTTGGTTATACCATTTGTTAGAGCACACCCCTAGACAACTGCCAAAGACACAAGCAAAGGAACATAGCACTCCCCGCCCCCCCCTCCCCCACCCCAGGATTCCTGATTACATCTGGCTTGTGAAGCGTTACGGGTCTCATAATTATAACTTGTTTGGAGGCTGAACGGAGTATCTGAAATCTACCTTGTTAGTTTACCATCCAGACTGAGATTCTGTAGTCTCAGGATAGCGTGATAAATATTTAAGTAGCGGCCCTGAAGGGTAAACTGATCAGTCCAACATTAAAGATTTCAACATTCTCGGATCAAATGCCTAGGATACACACATAAGGTACATAAAAAGAAAAAACAAATCCCCTGACACAAGCACCTTGCCTTTCAAAGCCAACAAACCAAGAAGAATAGTTGCTACATGTGAGCTCCGGATAAAACTTATACTGATTATGTAAGCTGACCTATGTTAACATCGTATGGATAGTTCCAGGAAAAGACAAAAGTGTGCATGAGAAACGTGAACAACAGATATGTAGTTCCTGAAGAAAATACAAAGAAACAATATCTTTTTCACAAACCAAATTTTATGGACAGATTCGAAGGGGGTAAAACAAACAAATAAGACAGTCTTCCACGAAAAACGAAAAGCCTCAGCTGATTTGAAACATTAGACGCAACAGTTTCTGTGATATAATACACGATTAGATAAACCTAATAAATTAGCGACAACTTGTCACACTTAAAGTGAAAAGAGCAAGGTGAAGACACAGAGATCAATACCTGGATGGCTCGGTCACTTGACATGTATGGGACAAGGACTCAGTCGGATGACCCTTTGAAATGGCGAACCAACAGAGCCAACACTTAAAGGCATGACACATAATGGTACTGGCCTAGGCACTGAAGGCTAATAGTTGAAGGTTGTCATCGTGATAGAAGCAACAGCTACCGCCACACATAAAGCCAAATGTTAAGAGCATTAGTAGTGCTGATACAAAACTAAATGTTCCTTTAACTTGCGGATCTTAACGCTAAAGCCACTTAAGTCCCAAAATATACTTGTCACTGTGCATATCATAAGAAATATACCTTTTTGACATGTGCAGGTGGCTTGTCCATTTGCAACTCTGCACTCTCCCCCATTCAGACACGAGCCAGAAAAGCATCTGTTAGCTGGTGTTTCACAGGACACTCCCGTGAACGAATCCGGACAGAGACAGCTAGATAGTTCTGGATAATATATTTTTCCTATGATAAGTGTCCCTAAACTTGCTTGTCGAGAAAACGGTCTAGGTTCACTTCCCATTAGTGACACATTTTATTCCCGACCAGTAGGACTTTGGGGTCGATCCAGCCACTTAAAGCCGTACTCGAACATTTCCAGAACCTCCTGGGAAAGAAGAGTCTTTGTTGTGTTTTGTTTGTTGTAACATTTTTGATGATAAAAGCTTATCGCTGCAACGTCATCTGTTTATTTATTATACGCGGTTTTGTAAAGGTGAATATACTTTATCTTGTTCCTACCATTTCTACATTTTCTCTTCCCTATTTTGTTTCAAGACTGGTGTGTCGTGTCCTATATAGGCTGACACTGAAAAATCCAACAACCCCCGGACCTGAGAAATGCCGGATTTGTTACATGCGAGGGTCAAATATTTAACAGAAAATTACCATCCGTACAGTCATTAAATGAAATAAAATTAGATTAATTATGAAAGCAAAAGAAATATTAACTTTTACCAACTAAACAGTTCTACATAATTTTAGTTCAATTGAATAAAAGAGTTCCTGAGAATTTTAATTTAAAAAAACAAAATCTCAATAATTTTAATTTTAATAAATAAAATAATAAATAACATAGTGTACCTGTACCCCAGATAAAGAAACCTAGTTTCATTTTACAGTTTTAGCATCAGAAAGATACTTCCCTTGCCATTCATGCCTCGTTGGGTCACAGGACCTCTCCTATGTTGCGGGGGTGTGATGATATATCTTGGTTTGGAGTTCGCTCGATGTATATAATGTTTGTTGGAGGTTGTGTTGTGATGTTGTGAGGCTAATACAGGCGCCGAAGATGTTTGTGTACAAGTAAGAAGTATTGCAGGGGGGAGCACCGCAGGCGCGACGATTCTTGAGTATCGAAACTGGGATGTTTTTGAATTTCTACGTTCGTTAGGTGTGGATTCCCCCTCCCCTCCCCCTCCCCGAGAGAAAAAAAGCACTTACAAGGAACGTGGGAACAGAAAAATATCGCTGTTTCCACTGTCGAACAGTAGCGCAGAAGGTAGAACGTTAAAATAATTATGCAAGTGAGCGGTGAGGAAAGAGAGAACGGTTACAGGCTTGACAGTAAAGAAAACATGACACCCCCACAATGTAGGAGAGGTCATGCTACCCGACGAGGCATGAATGCAAGAGAAGTCACTCTCTTTCTGGGCGGGAAAACGTAAAATGAACAGGAACCTAATTATGATAGCCTGAAAGTTCACATGTGAAATGCAATATCTGCAACTGGTCAACATTTAACTTTACTTTTTCACAAAACACATGTTTCTCAACTATGTGTTTCACAGTTACAGCAGAGAATGACATACACTATTACAATATAGCCTAATATAGTGTTTCTCAGCCTTTTTACACCCGCGACCACTAAAACAGGGGGAATCGTTTCACTGCCCACCCGACAGCTAACCAAGCACAAAACAATAGGAAATATAGATAGCATTTATTTGTTAAAACCGACATCTCAGAATTAGACTTCAATTTTAATTCACCTCAAACAAAGAAAATCTGGGAGTTCCCGGGAACGTCTAATATGCTAGGGGTGTTATGGGTTGGAGTTAGTGTTAGGGTTAATGTTAGGAATAATCGGTGTCTCTGAAGAGGTCAGGGCTGACAACGATTAATTTAATTTTCATGTCAGGGCACGCAGGTGTTCTTTTTTCGTATTTTCCCACCAAATGCATTTCAAACCATCACACTTTTTGAATACTCCACTTTTCCGGAAACTCCCGGAATTTCTTTTTTGGAGTGAATTAAATTTAAAGCATATTTCAGCCAATACGACCCCTGCAGCTGCTTAGAGTGTAAAATATTTTTGCTAGGAAACTGGTGTAAGAGGAAATGAACAAGCTTGCTGGCAGGACCAGGGTAAATACGGGAAAAGTAATAGTTTTTTTTTTTTTTTAGTATCCAGAAACCATGAGTTGTTAACCCTTTGGAACGGTACTATGAATATCGCAACCTTTTGGCTTTGATTTTATGATACTTACAGTAAATCTGGGGAGAAATGTGTCTTTTCTACCCCGGCGTGAACCCGAACACAAGGAGTTCGTCACCCGGTCGCTGCGCAGATGGGTTTAACCAACTGCGCTAGCGAGCCGGGCAAAACAACTCATAAATAGTGTTATCAGTCGGCACACGCTGAGGGAGATACCGAAGATGGGACCTGAAGCCTTATGGACTTGGCCAAATTACAATGAGGATAACTGAGGTACAGTGGGGAAAAAATCTGTTATTCTGCATACTAATTTAGCTAAGTGTCTTTAGTATGTTTGAACCAACATAGCAGCTGACCACGTTGTGTTTCAGACCAGAGTTTAATCATATGTGAGGTGTTTTTTAGGGACCTCAGTAAGTCATATACAGAGTGTAGTTTGGAACGTTGATAAGGTCTTCAACGAATTCCATGAGAGCTGTTTTAGTAGCTGATTAGTCTCGAGGTGTGGTGTCCGCCTCAAGTGTTAGAGGTTCCAGGTTCAAGCCCCGGTGAAGGCTGTGATTTTTTGCCCGTGGACTTCTAGTTTTTTTTTTTTTTTCATCGAACACCGGCTGTGAATTCCAGTGGAAGGTCAGGGTTAATCGTCCGCTTGGACTTTTGGCTTTCACCTGGACCTGATTTTTGCGTGTACAACCGTTTTTCATTTCCCTGCCTCTTGGGCAGCTGTACGCCGACTTCGAAGGAAGACGTCAGGCCTATTTCTAGGGTGACTGTGGCCATTGTTTTGTGTGGGTCGAGACGTTGCCTGATTTGTGTGGTGTCCATTTTGTCCCCTTCGCCGCAGGTATTGCCCCCAGAGTACCCCTTTGGGGCAGCCCCCTGTGGAACAGTTTGCCCTCAAGGGAAGGCAGGGGCAGATCATGGGCATTCCCCGCCATCCAAGGAGGCTTCCATGCATGCAGAGCCGGCACATATTGCTCTGATTCTGGGCTCACCCAAGGAATCGTCACGTCCTGCACATGCCTGCTTAACCTCACAACCGTATCAGGCCTCCCACTCGACAGGGGCTGCGCCCTCTGGAAGTCAGCGGGGAGCAGCCCGTGGGTTTTGGACTTTTGTGACCACACAGATAGGTACATTAGCCTGACAGAATTTCACATCCTGAATCAGGCGTATCGTTATCAGTTTTGTCCCAACACTCGGGCGAGTGGGGTCTTTGGGTGTGGATATTCGGTCTTTTTCAGTTCAGTGCAAATTTTGATGGTCACATTTTGATCCATATGATCTAGTTTTGTCGGACATTTAGGCTTAGCCATCCGATGGATGGTTGCTGTTGTGGTGTACCTCAGCGCGGTGACGACGACACTGAGGGTTAACCGAGGATGTACGTGAATGGCCAGCCTATGGATGGTTGTTGTTGTGGTGCACCTCAGCGCGGTGACGACGACACTGAGGGCCAACTGAGGATGTACAAGGATGGCCAGCCTATGGATGGTTGCTGTTGTGGTTGTACCTCAGCGCGGTGACGACGACACTGAGAATTAACAGAGGATGTGCAGTGAGCAATGATCTCTTTACTCAGCAGTCTTTTAACCAAGGGTTGTAATTTTAGCTGTATGTTTGTCAACCCTACTCATGTTCCTAATGAGTTTTGATAACATTTTTCACCCAAGCGTTTGGGGGCGGGCTGATGAGAGCCACAAGGACACATCACCTCTGGGGGCCGCCAAACTCCGAGATCCCCTGACAGCTCTGTTAATGCTCATTTGAGACATTATCCGTGGCGCACGACGAGGACGTGCTGTTGGGGTCTTGCGTGAGGTTCCGTACAACCAGAATAGTGAAGGACTGGCGCCCGAGTGACGTACGGAGTATCTCCTTATACACATCATGTTGGACTTAACTTCCCCTCACGCCTGTGACATAAATCACCGCGCCACGGACTTCTAGTAATTTTCCCTGATCTCTGCGTAGTAATATCGGACGCCCGTGTGTATTATTACGGTAAAAAATCTTTGGCAGTTGGAAAATAGAAGCCTAACGGTGCAGCTAAAACGCTCTTTCGGATCCTCGCCGGTGCAATGGAGTTCGTGTACTGCGCTGAGATGCTTCAGACACAGGATTGAGTTAGAAGTAAAACGGAGCGCACTTATGGGTTACACATGTGTTCCATGATGTTAGTCCGTTAAATAAACATAAATAGTAAACGCATTCGATGATTTTGATCACACAGAGCATCCATTGACCACCCATACTCAACAGAACGAGCAGCGACAACTACTTTCTCACCTCCCTCGTGTGGGATACATTTTCCGTTGTTCTGACACTGAACTAGAGCACATCCATCAATCAGCGTGTCGCATCTGTTCCCTGTCACGCCAGCGACACAGTCACAACGATAGCGTCCCCGCCCTAATGAGACACAGGTACCTTGTCGGCAGGGAGTGTTATAGCAGCCATCTATTTCCACGTCACAAGCTCCACCTGTGTAACCTGTATAACACAATTAGTTAGTTTGTTAGTTAGTTACTTGGTCGACAGATTATCCTCATGGTACATCGAACCCTTCAGTCCATAAGTGCTAGGATCCCCTCCTTAGTAAATCCCGCAGCGTGTAGCGACCCACGATACCAGTTGTGTGTTCGTTTCTTATTCTTCTTTGGCTTCCAGCATAGTGCTCTTGTCTGGTCACACCACACACCCCTTAAAGCACGTTGGTCATGCCGTCTGGTCATTGTTGGAGATTCAAAGTCATCACTTGGTTCACCCAAACATCTTACTTTTCGTAGAGCGTTCAGTATATCAGTACGGTCCATGGCTCGTGCGTGCTCCACAGTAGCTTTACCTGCTAGCCGATCGGCTTACTCATTTCCTTCTCTATCCTCATGAGCATACTCATTGAGTAATACTATGGGATTAAGGATTGTTCTCGGAGCCACGAAAACCACACCCA